CCGCGTGCCTAATGGACTGAAGACAGAGACCGAAGGCGGATTGATGCGAGTGACTGACGTTACGCAACAGCACTCTCAAATCGACGCCGCCTGGATGAACGTCATTGCTACTGCTCAGTTACCTCCAAAGAAGGCGGCAGACCTCGTACAGCAAGAAGTTCGCAACGCTGGTACTTCGCTCCGAAGCTTCTTCTCAAAGTTTGCATCCGCACCTCCGCCTCCCACGAAAAGTGTCAAGCCTGCGCCGGAGAAGATCATTTCCAATGAAGAAATAGCAGGCGACTCAACGGGCACGATTTTCCTACAAGTGTGTACTGTGGTTGCGGCTACAAAGGTCTCGCAAACCTTTACTAGAGAGATTGAGCGAGCGACTAAGAAATCACCACCCAAGACGATCAGAATCGCTCTTTTGACGAGTCCGTATCAGGACCCATCAGCCACTCTGGCAACAGGCTCCGGAAGTTCAGCGGCGCTTGCCGACAAGATCTTCGCAGAAGTCCTCCCAACCAAGTCTGGACGGATCTTCATCGGCTTTCCTACCGCTCAGACGACAGGTTATCTTGCTCACATCTCGGCACCATCGCTCATTCCGACGGTGGAGCGAGAGAATGTGGATATGAATGCTCGCTACATCTCTACCTGGAACATCGAGCTGCTGCGCGTTGCAGGGTTGGCGTGTCGCATCACTTACGCAGCAGAGCTGGCAGCGTTACAAACTCAGTTTGGCAAAGAATCTATGGAGACTCTGATCGCGAAGACTGCGTACGTGTTCAAACAATACACATCCAAATCATCACATCCATCCACAGCTCTCGGTGACAAGATCGACGAGGCCTTCTGGAATTGTTCCAAGGACCGATCGATTGACATCCTTTCGACTAAAGGATTCTTGCCAAGTAAGCGCGTGCGTATGCCAGCAGAAACTTTGAGCTTCCTAAACGAGGTTCCTATGGTTCCCCAAGAGCTAGCGAATGGAGCAGTTGACTTCATGCTCAACTTACACAATCGCGGTTTCATCACAGAGCTCACTATGCAGGACATCCGCCAGGGCCTTGAGTCACGGGCTCTGAACGAGGAAGAGCTTTCCGAGTTTCTCAAGTGGTGCGGAGCTAAGCTGGAAAGTGGCGAGATTGACGTTCCCGGCTCTCGTAGTCTATTTGAGAATACTGTCGCCAATATCGATGTTCAGCCAGAGAAGAATTCTGGAAGGATTCTCGCCTTGGGTGACATCAGCACATTCGTAAACCCAGCGCGCATTGGTGCACATTTGCCCCTCCCGCCAGATACAATACCTTTTGCTTTCACAAGAGGCATGTCGATGAAACAACTGCAGCTTTTTGGTTGGGTGGAACTGTCGATGGTTCGTTGGCTCCGGCATATGACGACACGCCCACAATTGGACGATTTCACCAAGGACGAGAATCTGGCGCTTTCTGTACTGACGTTGACTTCCAAGTGCTGGGAACAATTGGATGGAACTTCCAAGGAAACAGTCGTCAAGATCTTAACTCCTCACACGATCTTGCCAACAAAGATGGGCATGCGGCGACCAGCTGAGTCATACTTTCCTACTGTCAAGCTTTTCGACGACCTGCCGACCGTCACGCCATTCCCAGGCTCCAAGGAGAAGTTCCTTTTAGCGCTGGGGGTACGAAAGACTATCGATCTCCCCATGGTGTTTGATAGAATGCGCAGCCGCGACGCACAGCAGTCTGAGAAGTCTGAGAAGCCGACCTGGAATCATGTTGACCTTATTCGCTACTTCGCATCCGTCATCAACGAGATTCCTGCGAAGGATCTCAACCGCCTACAACAGACAGCGTTTTTGCCAGGAAACGGTGCTTTAGTAAAGCCGGGCGAGCAATTCAAGGCCTCGGATTTATATGCTCCTGACCCGGCTATTGTAGCTCTGGGTCTAACCCAGATCAACCTGCCGTTCGAATTCAAGCCTACTACGCGGGAAGGTGTACTACTCTTGCGTCTCGGACTACGACAATGGCCAGATTCAATCACTATTGCAAACGTTCTCCATCATGCCGGTCAAGCCAAAGATCTCCAGCTCTACACGCGTGCGATGGAATACTTCTTGACAAATTACTACAAGAACAACTACGCCGTAGAGCACCAGAAGTTTGCTGCCCTGACCCTCCCGATCTTGCCAACCGAACAGGCTCCTTTTCCAGCATTAGTAGGCCCTTTCCAATGCTACACCAATGAGCATGCAGCCTGCCTAGGATTTCCTATTTTACGAAGCGACCTTCGCAGTCATGCCGAGAAGCTGGCGGTCCAGCGTGATCCAAGCATAGGCCCATGTGTTCAGTATCTCATGAAGACACCACCCAAGACCAAGCTTGATGCAGAAATGCAGTTTGCTTACCTTGCTTCGCGTGGATCTGAGCTTGATCAGTACAAAGGTCTCATACAGAGTCTTGCGACTTCCAACATCGTACCAATCTTCAGGAAATACTACCTCGATCCTACTTGCAGTGGTTTTGAGGATAGATCGAAGAATCAAACCGGCAAAACTGAGATGCGCATTCATCACTACGATCCACCCGAGCATGTCTTTGTTGGTCGTGATCAAGAGTATCGTGGTATCCTTGATTATGTTCACTATGGTGCGGAAGCCACAGTCTTCCTTCTCAAGGTCGGTGCGAAGCATGAGCCTACTACGCATGATCTTGCCTATCTCCTCGCTAAGAACCCTGCTCGCTTCCTCAATACCATCGGCCAGGAGAAATATCTCGATCTGCTTAGAAAGCTGGCCGAGCATGCGGCAAACCTTTGGAAGGATAAGGAGCTAGTCAAAGCACTCGTGGCTTCAAGGCTACTTCTTGGTTACCGCGATATCAAAGAAGACACCAAAAAGGTCGCTGATGCTGGTGATGAAGAGATGGATGACCTTGATGAAGACAATGTCCATCGTGAATGGTCTCTCAACAAGGCTGGCGAGATCGTGATCATCGACAACGTCAACTATATGACGAGGTTTCGCGACTTCATCATCGCAGCCCCGCAGGAAGAGCTCCTCGAAGAATTTTACGCCCGTTTCGGTGTTCAGAAGGTCTCGGAGCTGGTCAAGACCGATCAACGAATCGGCACAGTGGCACGCGACCAGGCACCCGCCCAAGATCTTCGAAGAGACATCCTGGAACGTGTGCGTCTCTTCCTCCACGAGTACGAACGCGATGCTTCATCAAAGGCTATTAGACATGACGCCAAATGGCTGGGTTCTAATTTGACGGTCCAATGTGTGTCGGATATTTCCATCCGCTACTCACTAGCAGAACGCAACGTTGCGACATCTTCACGAAAATCTGCTGTGATCATCAAGGTGCGTGGTACCGGATACGTGCTGAGTATCACACCGAAATACGATCTCTATGAGGTATCTAGCGAACTAGTCAGATTGCTGGTATCGCGGCCGAAACGCAATGATGCGATCGCGCTTGAGCGCATCTTGACTGAGCCTTTGCGCCGACTGCAGCAAAAGGGTATCAATGTAGAGCGTATTCTACGAAGGAAAGAGCATGAGGCACGCATCGCCAAACAGGCCGAACAAGAACGTGAAGAAGAAGAGCAGCAGCGAGCCGTTGAAAGAGCCAAGTCTGGTCATGTAAAGCATGAGGACAGAGAAAATGTTCCACCCGAGACGCCAGAGAAGGCCAAAGAGATGCCTGGTGCGTTTGGTAGTCCAGATACTGGCATGGAAATCGCCAATCGCGGCCGTCAACCGGAGGAGGATCAGGGCCTCATCAACAACTGGGCAAAGAAGCTTGGGTTCAAGAATGCACCAAGCACACCGCGTGAAGGCACGCGTGGCACAGACGGGCCTCAGATCAGCCGCGACATTCAAGCTACGAAATCGAACATCCAGAATGCTATCAAGGAATGTCGACCTACCGGTATGGACAATATCAACACAAAGCATCACCAAGACCCGACAGAGCTTGACCGAGGAGGTTACTGTAATGGCGAGCAATGGGAGAACTTGCACAAAGCCTTTTCCGTACCCTTCTCCGGTCGACATGTCGATATCTACTACGGTCGCGACGAGACTGCGCCGCTCACCGACTTGCAATCTCACCTGCAAGCATTCCTACCACTCATTTTCGGTCTTACCTCGATCTTTAGCGTCAATCCGGCCGCAGTGAACATCTTCCTCGACAAGAAGTCGAACACGGTGGCCTTCAACATGAACGGTAGTCTGTTCTTCAATCTGGCTTGGTTCATTGCTCTACACAGCGATGGCTGTCAGACCAAGGAAGGAAAGCTGAGGGCGCTGGACAGTTGGTTTTGCACGTACTGCCACGAGCTCGCACATAACCTCGTGGCCGACCACAATGCGCGCCATAGTTGGTACCAGCAACAGATTATCATCGAGTATAGTCAACAGTATCGCGCCGCATTGCCCAACTTTACACATGGTCTTTTGATATAGACGGAATCCTTTTTGTCAGTACATCGTATGGGTAGAGTGATAGACATCGGCGTCTCAACAGCATTGTGTTATCATTATCTCTAGAGTATAAGTTGTATTCATTTCCATTTGGCTGCATGTAAAGTCATATCACTGCCTCTTGTTTACCCATCACGTCCATCACGTCATTGCACCGCAAGCTCGGTATTCACGTTTACTATGATTTCCCTGCAAACGGTTGCCTCGACGCCCAAGGCCCCACTCGATATCCGTAATCCGCCCATCTCGACTGTTTTACCAGCTCGTTATCTCCGGGTAAAGTCCCTCACAAACACAGGTCAATAGGGCTCCACTCCATTAGCGTACCTTCACTGCAGTGTAGTCGGACATATAAACAGTCTCTCCTACTGCTTCTCTTCCTCTTCCGCCCTCCACCCTCCACATTCTACTCAAATTTCTTCCTTGCCTTCCAAAAGAACTTGGAAGCTGCGATTACAGGTAACCCGCAAAGCATACGCTTACCTCAATGATCTGGTACTAACTTACACACAGCGAGATGAGGTTCACCACTGTCTCCACGATGGCTCTCGGCTTCGCTGCCCTTACCGTTGGACAGTTCCAAACCACTGTCACTTCTGTCAGCTGCGCTGTCTGTACTGCTGACACACCGACCCGCTCCAACGGCTACACTGCCCCCACTACCGACTCGAGTGATCTCACCCTCACCATCACCAAGTACCATCGCCAAGATCCCCCATCTTCGACTTGTACAAGCACCACCGACACTCGCGTCGACGTCACCGAGTATCTTCCTCCCATTTCCACTCACATTCAATGCGGTCCCGACAAGGCTACAACCACCTGCTCTACCTCATACGAGTGCGGTTGCCACTCCACTCACTATACTCGGCCCTATGCTCCCGACACACATCTCTGCTTTCCTGATGAAACACGTACGATTTCGTATCCAGACTTCGGTGCTGGCCGTACTCAGCCTGGACGCGGTGTCGCTCGTGCGGCAAGGCAGACAAACGCACCCAAGCAGACATGGACGAGGACCCATAGCCAGTCTATCGCAGCTAGAGCTACATCCCAGGACTTGGGTGGACGGTCTCAGCGTCGCGTTGCGAGGGAGGCTGAAGCTACGGCTGTCGTAGCTCCTCGTTGCGAGCCTGGAAAGTTCGGTCCTGGATGCTTCCCGATTATTACCCATCCGGCAGCCGACGCTATCGAAGCATTCCAGGCCGAGCCTACCGTCGCCGCAGCACCTTGCGACCCCGGTTACTTTGGTCCTGGATGCAAGGCACGCGAACCTGTAGCGCCTCGCTGCGAGCCTGGGAAGTTCGGCCCTGGATGTTTCCCGATTATCACGCATCCAGTAGCTGACGCTATCGATGCACGCGAGGCCGAGTCTACCGCTGTAGCTGCTCGTTGCGAGCCCGGCAAATTCGGTCCCGGATGTTTTCCCATCGTAATCCACCCGCCTTCAGCCAACGCCGTCGAGGCACGCCAGGATATGTCTACATCCTGTCGTCCAGGCTTTACTGGTACCGACTGCCATATGTGCATCCCTGGAAGGAACGAGCCTGGTTGCCCACCTTCACCTTGGCCCCCTGTCGACGCAGCTACTACGCCAGCTCCTACCGCGACCACTTCTCACTATGGTTGCCCGAGCGGTGTTTGTGGTCCTGGCTGTCGCTGGGGCCATGAGTGCTTCTCGAAGATTGGACGTGGTGCTGAGGCTACCGCTGTGGCAGAGGTTGTACATAGTACCCTTCTTACACTGAGGGTCTAGAATGCTTCGGTGCTGGGTTAAGAGGCAAGAAGGTGTCTGCACCCTGATCAAAAGTGATGATATGGCGGTACGTATAGGCTGGAGAAAGTCGTGACTTCAGGTCTCAAGTATACTGCTGGTCACACAATACTGAATACAAAAGATCCACCCTATGCATTCCCTCCTTGTGAACCTAACCCCACACATCCTCCCACATATCTCAGATTCCAAATCCCTCAAGCGGATACTCCAAACTGCTAATCCTCTCTGGATACAACACACCCCCATTCTTCCTAACCTGGTCCATAACCCCCATGAGCACCTCCGTCTCCTCGAGTCCACAAACCTCGCTCTCCGTCTTCCCATCCCTCACACACCTTGCACACTCATCCGCCTCCCAGAACATGCCATGCCCCCCTCCAGGTATGTCTTTGAACTTATCCACAACCCCGTAATCGAAATCCGCCGGCCGACCTCTCTTTTCATTAGCCGCGGGGACAAGCGTATACGTCCTAGGCCTCGGCGCATAATTCACCGTCAAATCGCCCAGCGTACCCTGAATCCTGACCGCATCCCCACCGACATGTTGCGCATTAGGCGTCGTAGCCACCCTGATACTTGTGCCCGCCACGGCATGCGCACCCGTCCCTTTCCAATGCAACAACACCGTCGTCGTCTCATCGACACCCGTCTCCCCTTTACTAACCGCAGACACGACAACCGGTTCCTCCTTCTTTTCCATCGTCTTCCCATGCCCATCTTTCCTTCCCGGCTGCTGGCAATAATAACAAGCCATAAACACCCAGGTCAGACTATAAATGCCCAGATCCAACAACGCACCACCCGCCAACTCGGGATTGACCATGCGATGCTCCTTGCCAAACTCCTTTTCGACATCGTTCCAGAAGCTAAAGTCGGCAAAGACGCGGGTTATGGTGCCGAGGCGGCCAGACTGGATGATGGAGCATACCTCCCTGCTCAGCGGGAAAAACCTTGTCCAGACAGCTTCCATCATGAATCTCTTCTTTTCCCGCGCCAATTTCCGTAACTCTTTACATTGCTCGGCGGTGACGGTGATGGGCTTCTCTATCAAGACGTGTTTGCCTGCTGCCAGGACGAGGCGGGCGTGTTGGTAGTGGTGGGAGTGTGGGGTAGCTATATAGACGATATCTACATCTGGGTCTTCAACGAGTTCCTTGTAAGAGCCATATGCTTTTGCCGTGTTGGGCGGTACACCGACGCTGGTGCAAAAGTCCTGGGCTCGTTTTGCAGATGTTGAAGTCGCGGCTGCGACAACGACATGCCGGATATCGGATGCGTCACGGGTTCGAGGGTCGATGAGGAGGTCTTTTGTGAATGCTAGGTGGGGTGTTAGGGAGCAATGGTATGTGTCGGGAGACAAGGGGAGAAAGAATTACTCGTTGCTATGCCTCCGCAGCCTTTTCGTTGGGATTAGCATGCTTGTTCTCTGATATTAGGGGTAACAATGCATACCCAAGATACCCCACCTCAGGGTAAACGGTTCAGAACTCATCTTGACAGAGACATATACTGGAGGATGTGGAAGAGAAAAAAGAATACGAATGGGAATAGACGCCCTGCATTCTTATCATAATTGCTACAAAGACGTGCCGAGCCCATGCCATGTCTGTCACGCCCTGGCTTGTGTCGATGCTGCAGGTACATGCGTAACGTCAGTGGTGGACGTGTTGACAGTCTTTCGATTAGAATACCCCGCAGCGGCTGTGTAGACGTGAGATGGGTCTGACGACGCGACTAGCGGAGAGACGGGATCCTATCCGCCCATCCTTCAACAACAAAGAGGTTTCCTCGTTATACATGTTCGCAATCGTGATCAGAACAAGCCCAACCCAAGCTAAACGACGGGTGAAATTCTGGGTATATACATTTTCCAAGCTCACGAGCGATTTCCTTGGCTGAGCCTCGTTCAAGAAAGCATCTTAGTCGTGCACGTCGTCTAATGCTCGTGTACGATGTTTATGACACCCGCACATGAAATCCCGCCTGGGAGATAAACTCTCTGCTCCATACACGACAAATACGGTGCTCGTGTGTAAGCTCATAGCTTACTATGACGTTTTGTCGCCCTACATGATATCGCCCTGGTTTGCGGATCGCGAAGAGACCCGATATGCACCGCCTACCATGAATGCGACCACTCTGGAGATGACGTCTAGGCACGGCGCATGGCAAGCTTCTTGCGCGCCTGGACAGTGTAGGCGTACAGTGCATCCTTGAAAGCGAAGAGGAAGGCTGCAGTAATAACACTCTGGGTAACCTTGGGTCCGATGCCTATCAGCGGTTAGCACACATGCCATTTGGGTCACAGGAGTTGCTATCGTACCTCCATACAAGCCAGTGTACCCCTCCTCCCGGATGATGCGCCTGAAGGTGGTCATCATATCCTCCTTGGGTCCATCCCTGCCGGCAACGTGCATGCGACTCTTGACAGTGATGTACGGGTAGGTAATGCTCGTGGCCAACAACTTGCCCAGGGCACCCAGGTAGAAAGCGTCCTTTGGTGTGACACGCCTCCTCTTCTCGAGCATCTGCTTGAGCTGCTCGAAGACGGTATATTGGAGAATGGGGTTGATGACCAAGACCAGGGCAGGCATGACACCGGCGAACAAACGCGCAAAGCCCTCTTCGCGCACAAGGGCGAAGAGGGTGCCGAGCGTCGACGGGGCTTTCTGCGGGGTTGTAGGAGCGCCTGGGAGCGACTCGTCCGAGGCCTCCGACTTGCGCGTCGTCATGCGCGTGTTTACCACCCAGATGGGGTTGGTCATGAGGACGGTGGCGCTACCAGCGAGGGCGCCCGCCATCATGGACTCGACGGTTGTGAGCTTCGAGGAAGCGCGGCCGGCTTTGAGCGCGGCCTTTTCGAAGAAGGAGCGGGTCCATTCGTACCCTGGCTGCTGTCAGTCCCTCATTGTACCGCATGCCGTATCAGAAGCAGGTGTCTCGCACAGTAGTAGTAGACAAAGTTTGTGACGCTGATGCCGAAGAGGGCCGAGTCAAGGCCTGCGTAGAGGCCCGCGACGCCCTCGCGCTTGATGATGCGGCGCGCGGCATTGAGCGTCGACGACTGGGCGCGCTTCGATTCGACCTGGGCGCGGGTAGAGAGGGTGATGAGCGGGTAGCTGGGGTGTGTGTTAGCAGCCCGTCGACAAACAGTCATCATGGCGCATACGTCAAGGCCATGGACAGCAGTCCTCCACCAGCGCCCGCCAGCGCATGCGCAACATTGTCGCTCTGCTGTGCCGCCGTGCTCTGTGGCACCGACGAAGTCGACTCGATGAGCTTCTCTTGCGCCTTTTCCTGTGTTTGAGACATGATGGAGCCGTTGTCAGAGGCAGGAGCAGCCGATAAAAACAAGAGAGAGAATGGAAAAGGAGAGGATAGACTGTGCAAGGAACAGCGTCAAAAGGGAAGCGTCTTCCAGGGCTCCTCTGATGGCATGTGTCTCCGCATTTGAGCTGCGGCTCCGGCTGGCTTGTGAACGTCACCAAGCGTTTCCGGGGTAAGAGGTACAACCGAGGCAACAAGTTCCCCGAGCTAGTCGCATCCGGCAATCTTCACCAAACTCCAACACGTGCAATCACTAAACTCGATGCAGTAAACAACAAACATGACAGCAATGCTTACGATTGGTCCTTGCTATCTTGACATCATCTCCCACATATCCTCCTCTCGACCATCCTAAATGGTACGTAGAGCACCGCCGACAGCACCACTGCTACCTCCAACCCGATGTCGCCCGTAGTCTCCGCAATGGGCCCCGTCCACCAGATCTGTCCCATACACGGGATGATGAGAGCAAAGGATACCAGGAACGCGCCCATTGCCGCGACCCCAGGCGGGAGCTTGCTCGGCTCGTCCCACGCCTCTTCATCCTCGGTGTAAGCCACGAGGCTGCTCCCTCGGAACAGCACGTGTTCAGTCAAAGCGACACCAATAAAGGCAGCACTCCAGTACCCGATGACTCCGATAAAGTTCTCGAGGTTGAGGAAAAAGCTCTTTGATGCCTCGACAGCCACGCCAATCACGATTCCAGTGATGACGATGCTGAAGAAGATGCGCGGGATGCGGAACAGCCAGGGAAGCAGCATCTGCAGGTTTAGTGTTACGCTGTACATTGTTGCGGACAGGTTGCCCAACATGCTGAATGCCAGCACAACCGTGACGAAGCGACCAAAGCCGCCTGCAGGGTGAAGCATGGCTGCCAGGACACCACTCGCTGCGTTGACATCGTACCCAGCCTGCCATGACGCCATGTTTGGTGTAGCGCCGCCCATGGCTGCACCCAATGTCATCAAGAGGATTGTTGGGAGAGCGAGGCCCGTGTAGGTGTAGAGTGCGATCCGCAGTGGAGGAGCCTTGGGATGCATGTACGTCGAGAAGTCACTCGCGAGTGCAGCCCATGGCAGCATGAAGCTTGCCACTAGACCACCGAATGAGAGAACTTGCGATGCTGTAGCAGCAGGTGCTGGAACCTGGTGGCTGAGACTCTTACCCCCACATCCTGCAGCAATGATGAGTGCCGCCAATGCTGGGATCCACGCCCACCGTTCGTAGTGATGCAGTACTCCGAAACCGCAGAAGGATATGACCAGCGACAAGACGGCGATGATGACAATCCCAACGGTTGCGTTGATGGTGGCTCCATCTTGTACTGCCGACAATGCCATACCACCAATGACACTATCGACGACGCAGAATCCCGTCAGAGTAGCAAGATTGAGCAATATCAGGAGAGAAACAAAGTACTTGCCAAAGGAAAACCTCGCCTGGACAAGCTGTCGCATACCCGTCTTCGGTCCCCACGTACACATGTACGCCACCGGCACAGTGCTCGCAAGCGTGAAGAAAAGGATAACCAGTGCCGCGTCCCGCAGACTCAATGCAAAGGACATGGTGCCCACCATGCCAAAAGTCACACTGCATACCCGTTAGCTGACATGTACGGAGCGAGTTCCCCGGCTGACCACTCACGGCAGGGGGTTGCAACTCATGCAAAACCAAAGCGTGAAGATCTTTGAATACTGCGTCTCTAGACGTTCCTCATATGGCACAGGCGTACATCCTCGTAGCTCAACATCTCCTTTCTTTTCCAGAAAACTCAGCACCCCTCTCCACCCTCGTACTCTTTCTTGCTTGCCCACCGTGACATCGTCGCTGCTCGAGTTCTCCACTCCCCCTACTGCTGCTGCTGCTCCCACTTCCCCGACCGAGAGATTAGGCCGCTTGATGTCTTCGTGCGGAGCAGCCCTGCTACTTGCTACCCCTACGTCGGGCATATCTGCCATCTCTTTTGCGTTTGGCTAGGTTCTGGTTTCCTTGGCTCCTGAACGTTTTCGCCGCTCCACCCCGAGATATTGCGCGCCTAAGGTTTGTCAAGCCCTTTTGCAAGCAACCACTGTCAACAATTCCCGAAACGTTGGTTACAGGGCCGTTTTGATCGACCCACCGGGCTGATCCAGCTACTATGTCCAGCTATGGCTTGCAGTGCGAAATATTGGAACGAGCGTCGTCCAAACTGATCGGTCGTGTGATAACGAATCTAGTCCCCCGGTGCGGCGTCTTTTCCTCAACTGAAGGAAATTCCGGCCTATATACCTGAATCATTTGCTCCACCCACAGTATCGTAGTTATGACTCCATCACCAAGTGGCGTAGTAGTGTGCGTGTTATCATGAGGAGAGAATTTTTTTTTTTTCCCTTTAAACGCGCCCTCTTTTTACCCTTACCTTGTGGTACACACGGCTTTGGTTGCCTGCGCTGGGCTTAGGCGCGCACCCGTCGGCACCGAACGTAAAATCGACGGCGGCCCACGACGATCTCGCCCACCTCGCCCTCTGCTAAGCCGACAACCGTCATGTTAGCCGTCTAATAACCGCGTCTTGCACCGTAGCGCCCACAGGCCTCGAGGACCAAACTCCGACATGACGGAAGTGTGGGATGTGGGCGTGTGGCATGCATGTCTCTCGGCTGCATGCTCGCTGCGCAATGGCCTGATTGTAGACGCGCTTGCCGACTTCTCGCCGGTCTGCCGGTCTATCCCCATCATCTTGACCGAAATGGGTGGGCAGCGTCCAACCACACAGCGTGCGGTGCTTGATACTCCGACGGTGATTGTAGCGTCTTCGGGAAGAGCAGACTTGTTTATCATGGACGTTGGGCGCTGCGGCGTGGCCTTGCATGAGGCTGTCGCTCTTCGCTTTCCTTCATCTCGTCTATCGTCTATTTGGAATCCAAGTCTTTGGTCATGGCTGCTGCTATGGATGACAAGCAGGAACCTATACCGGTAGATGAGGCTGCTATAGCACCTGAGCTACCGGTAGAAGGTGAAGTCGAAGTACCGTACAGTATATATACGAGCAAAGAGAAATGGCTCATCGTAGCCATGGTGGCTTTGGCGGGGTTCTATAGGTATGCTTCTTCTCTTTCCATTCCCAAAGTCATACGAGGTCATGTCTAACATAACCATAGCCCTCTCCCAGCAAACATCTACTTCCCAGCCATACCAACACTTGCCCGCGCCTTTGGAAAATCAATAGAAGACATCAACCAAACCGTTACCGTGTACCTGGTATTCCAGGGCATCAGCCCTATGCTGTGGGGACCCATCAGTGACCGTTTCGGCCGCCGCCTCGTCTACCTGGTGTGTCTCGGCATCCTCGTCGCATCGAGCATCGGGCTAGCCCTCTGTCCCACGAATCACTTCTGGCTGCTCCTCTTCCTGCGCTGTTTCCAGTCCGGAGGTAGCGCGTCCACCATTGCCTTAGGCGCAGGTGTCATAGGCGACATTTCCACTTCGCGAGAAAGAGGAGGATACTTTGGCATGTTCAACCTCGGTCCCATGCTCGCGCCTTGCATCGCCCCGGCCATCGGAGGCGCGTTGTCGCAAGGATTGGGGTGGCGATCCATCTTCTGGTCCATTGTCATCATGGTGGCAGTCTGCCTCCTCTGCATCGCCCTCTTTCTGCCCGAAACCCTGCGCTCCATTGCCGGCAATGGCAGTATCCCTGTGCCTCGCTTGCAACGCGCTATCCTACCCATTGTAGGCCAAAAAGCAACGAAAGAAGCTTTTGACCCCGATTCTCGCGCTAAGCCCAAGCATAGCGTCAACCCATTCGTGCTCTTCAGTTACCCTGATGTCATTGTGTTGCTCACTTTTACCGGCCTCGTCTACGCTGTCAACTACACTATCACCGCCACCATTTCTTCGGCCTTTGCAAAGATTTACCCGGAATTATCGGAGACGGTGTTGGGACTTTGCTATCTGCCTGTTGGCGCTGGTATGATTCTGGGTTCTACCATGACGGGCAAGATGCTCGATTGGCAGTACGCGAGTATGAAAGAGCGGTGTGGTGACAAGTTCACGATTGAACATGCGAGGCTGCGCATCATGCCCTTCTACCTGAGTCTCTTCATCGTCTGCGTCATAGGTTGGGGTTGGACGATCCAGGCTAAGGCTCATATCGCCGTGCCGCTTATTCTCGGCGTCATGCTCGGTTGGACGTCAATCGGCATCCTCAACACGACCATGACGCTGAACATCGACATTCTGCAGTCGCGCAGCTCGGGCGCTACGGCGTGTACGAATCTTGTGCGCTGCTCGCTGGCTGCCATCTTGGTGTCTATCATTGATCGCCAAGCAGCAGCGTGGGGCGATGGCTGGACCTATACTTTCTGGGGCGGCATCTGTTGTTTGTTGCTGCCGCTCATGTTGTTGGAGATCAAGATGGGCCCCGTGTGGCGAAAGAAGCGGGAAGCGAGGGAAATCGAGTCTCAAAAGGCTTGATCGGAGAGGACTTGGAGAGGTAATGAGTAACGGCTGTTTGATTGCATAAAAGCACTATACCCTTTTGTTATCAGTTTAACATAGCGTCGCGTCGTCTCGCATCGAGTTGAAATGCTATTTCCTCAATTCTTCGATTGATTTATCATACATGAAGAAACTGCCATGTGAACTTGCTTGAATAGTTTTAGATGCGCAACGCCCATCAGAGAAGGTGAGTCTAGAGTTTCAGAGACTCAAAGGTCATCAGAAAGGTCTCGTTCTAGAGGCTGCTCAAGATAATAACATTCTGATCTTCACAGTATAGATCCGGCGTGTTCACGCAACTCCAATCTGCCGCAGTGTTGTGCACCTTGCTAGATGTAACCGAAGAAACCTGCCATAGCCGGGAATTCCAGTTCTATGTTCCTTGGAGGATTTGCAATCACGACTGTCGTGCCTGTGATGTCGGTGACATGAGCACGACAGTAATGATACTCCGGCCATCGATGACTATTACCGTCCCTGACCAGCTCCTCCTCGTCGTACTTGTGCTGCCTGTGGCTAGGCTGGAAACTGAGAACCTTCAGGTTGGATCCTTGCTTAGCCGTAGATCGCAGAATCTGGTTGGCGATGTTCTGTATCAGTGCTTGATACAGGGTCATGTGTGGGGTTGAGATCATCCATTCCTCTGGGACTTGGACCCACGACTCGAGCTTTGGAAGATTAAAAACTCGGAAAGCCAGTATACTGGGGCATTGAGAGATAACGTTCTAGAATCTTATCAGCAACGGAGTGATCGATATGCGGAGGGGAACTTACCAGCATGTTCACAAACTCCGCATTAAGGGAAGCACCAGCACCCAATGATGGCATGTTCATCGCCAACTCATTCAGCTTGTTGCAAGCTCCCAGAATGGACCCCATGTCCTCGGCGGAGAGATGATCGTCTAAGCTCGACACTCCGGTGCTTATCCAGAGCTTGATGAGTGTCTGACAGTGAGCCAAAATGCAATCTTTGGCAACGAACCCATGCTGTGAGAGGTCTAGCTGGAGACTCTCTAGTTGAGGACAAGCTCTGAGAAGCTTTTCCACGGCTTGAATGCTTTCTGGCGCCTGGTATGGTGGGGTAGGAACCGCAACCGAGAACTCGCTCAAGTCACCGGTATTGTCGGTATAAAATGAAGATAAGCTCTCAAGCAAAGGAATAAAGGGGTAGCACTCTACTAATTCAAGAGTACGTACCTTCGATAGATTGAGGCTCTTACAAACCGTTTGACCTTCTGGCGATGCAATTTTCAGGAACCAGAGTCGTAGTACTGTAAGATTGGGGAACAGTGGAGCTTCTTTGAGGTGGTTGAACAGCGCGGACAAAGAGGTCCCAGTCCCTCCAGATGCCGAAACGGAGTGAATACGCAATGAAAGAGTTGTAATCTTCGGACAACAGTGAGAGACGGACTCGAGGCGATTTGCTGTTGACAAGTGTATCGACAAGACTTCAAGCAACGATGGTCCCATCCATTCGTAATGTTCTTTAGAGTCGAGATCAGATGATTCGGAATGGCCAGGAGTAGCGAACCGATCGAAACCACACAGATCTTCAATCTTGCGGTGAGACAGTAGTAGGAGTTGTAATGTTAGGGTTCCCATGTCGAATTCAGTCCAGACACTACGAACCCTATCTTGAGGAATCGCTGCAATGACCAATTTCAAGCGGTCTTCTCTCTCTTTTGTTCCATTGATCTCTAAGTCCCGAACGTGACTCAAGATTCCTGAGCGTGGATGTAGCAAGGTCGTCATAGAGCGAGCAGACGCAGCACCCAAGTCTGTCTCAAGTTCCTCCCACATCATGGGTGCCATATGGTCTCTCCATACGCGACTGACAAGGCAGATCGCGCCTTGGTCATCCTTCTGTCGTACCTAGAGGATTCTGTTAGCATCCTTCCATATCAGAAGTCGTTTTATGGCCAGACTTACGAAAGCGAATACATTGCTGACCATCTCAGGTGGCAGATCGGAGAAGGTAGCAGGCGCCATGGATGAGAGTGGGAGTGGGAGTGGGCCAATGTAGTGCCTATTGTGGGCTCGCTGCTCTTGTCGAGAAGAGAAAAGCCTTCTCGCAGTGAATGAAGTGAGAGTAGGAGTGAGAGTGAGAGAGCATGGCTCGTGCAGTGTTTACCTTCCGCCAAGACTTGCAGATACGGAAAGGGTCATTCACCGCGCTATGCTACTTGCGCGTCGTCAGGCAGCAACAACCGTGCGAAGAAGTCTTATTAGAATGTCTGTCTAGCAATTTCAAGCTCTCGCTAATGGTATACATAGTGACTTGGTGGATTTGCGACATAGGGTACACCATATACCCGACAGTAACATTTCGTAAGCGTCTCATGCGGCTTGGATGCCTTCTATCGCTGGCCAATCCAGAGCTACCTCGAGCTCGTTGTTGGATAAAAACGACGTTTGAGAGTGAACGAAGTTCAAAGAGGGTATGGTCAGTATGGTCAGTGCAATGTATTGTCTCTTCTTGCATCTTTGTTTCCTGACTCTATCATATCTATGCACGCCAAGCAGAACTCTTACACTATGGCACTAGTAGCTCAGCATAATCCTTAGCAACATCATCAAATGCAGAAAATCCACACTTCTAGATATGCGATCCTTTTCTGGCAAAGTTCTGTATGATGAAGTCGTTGGGAAACTCTCTGCGCGCAGCTTTCAATGGCACTCGCACTGCTACATCAATGCCAGATCCGTCTTGGACATTTCCGCTGATGTAAGTGAAATCATGCCAGTTATGAAACACCGGAACAACGGTCAGGTCTGCTGAATTTCCAAACACACTCTCAGCTTCGACGTGAAAGACCTTTAAAGATGTGCCGTACTGCGCCATGTAGCGAAAGACCTGGTTGGCAAAGCTCTGCATGGCTGAATTGTAGGACTGAAGGATGGCTTGATTGGGCACCATTGCGGGAGTTCGGTGGTCTTTCGGGTAATAGTCGAATGTGAGCTCAGGCAAGTTGAGCATTCCAAGAGTGTGGAGCGAAGAGTATCGCGAAATCTGAGCCTGCGATGCCAATTAGCAGGGACCAAAAAAACGGTCGGACTTGGACTACGCACCAGAAGGCCCTCGGCGCCCTCTTCACTCTCATTGAAGCGGAGATCTCGACCTGGCTTGGTGACAGACCCCAGCCTGATCCGCGGGAAGTTGATCGCGAGACATTTAAGCCTTTTGCAGGCCTTTAAGATGCTTCCTAGATCCTGTTTTGAGTATACGCGCTGCTCAGGCCCCCAGGTGCTAACGACAAGCGAACGCAGTGTGTCCGCGTGAGACAAGAGATAGTCTTTGCCTACAAGGGGGCATGTAGCAAGCACTAGACAGAGGTCCTTAAGTTTGGGACAGGCTTTGAGAAACCCCTCAATAGAGCTTGTAGTTTCCAATGGCGTAGAATCGTCTTCTAGCAGCTCGATTGACAGCACCTTCAGCGCCCCAGACATCTCAGAGTAGGACTTGGTCAGGCTGTCCAGAAACTGAATAACATTTTCGCATAACTTAAGATTCATCTGCTGCAAGTTCGTGATGTTAAAGTTGTGACAGAATGGTCGTGAGCGATCTGGCACGAGATTTAATCCTTCAAAGGTCACAGATGTGAGTTGGAAGAATAGTTGGCCTCCAGTTGCGTAGGAGAGTATATCCTGTAGAGAGTCTTGGAACGCCATTGGGTCGATCAATATGAGGTTTTCTAGTCGTGGGCATTCATCCAAGGCTTTGCGCAAGATTCTGAAGGTCTCTTCGGCTTGTCCATCCTCCTCCATACCGATATCAAATTTTATCTGCTTCACTTCGGACATCATCGAGGCTGTCCATGAGTGATAGTCGTGAAACAGAAAGTGAGAGTCGCCTGTCTGGTCAAGATTCGTAAACGTAGTATCAACTTGAATGCTTTCGAGTTTGCGTTGCGAAAGCAACAACTGCTGGAAGGTCGAGTCCGTGATGTAGTAGGTGCAATAAATCATACGAAGTTTGTCGCGTGGAAGCGCTGCTACCAACAGCCTCAGACGGTCTTCCATGTCCTCCGTGTCGTCCATAGACGTCAGGCTGCATATCTTCAGTTCTCGTACGTGGGGCAAGATATTGGAATCCGCTTTCAGTAACGTTCTCAAAGAGCGGCCACCAGATTCTCTCAAGTTGGTTTCGAGCTTTTCCCACATCTTAGGTGCCATATGATGTCTCCATGAGCGACTGACCAGACAGGCAGCGCCTTGGTCGGGTCTCTGGCGTACGAAGGTGAACACATATTCGACCATCTCGACGGGTAGATTAGCGAAGGTGCTCATAGCTTCTGAACACTGAATTGATCAGTCGGGAAGGCGTCCCAGATCGTATAATAAGCAGATTCTTCCTGATTGCGCCATGTTTGTTGCCGTTTGCGTGCCACCCAGATCAAGCAGTTTTGCGAACCCTGTGACATCAGTGCCAGTCGTCACCTGGGAACAAGTTCATTTCTTTTGAGATGCACCCGGAACAGAGGAGGTAGAAAGTCCAGCGAGTCGAGGCGAGAGTGAACATATGGCACCTCTGAGGTACCTGTTGTGATCTACTTTTCAGCTTGATGAAGGAACGATCAGTGCATGTCATCATGATGGATTTTACCAAGGTAGTCTTGAGAAGCAGAAGGGTGTAGTGGAACCTCAGTTGGGAAGTCGAGATGGCGTTGATATGCGTCATTGCTCTCTGTCGTCAGCTGTAGTGTTGACACGAGACTTCAATCGTATGTTAATGACATTCGACTTGGAGTAGCTGAAGTCGTTGCCTGAGTTGGCCTGCCTTCATCAAAGATGATCAAAGGACTAGCTGTTGGCTCTAGATACCGGGCGCTTCCTAGCTTGGGATGAAAGCGCTATGCATACACTGTACCTTGCCTCTTGCTCGCATCATGATGCTTTTTTAGACTCTTTATCGTCTCAAAACGACTATCGGCCCCAGATAGCGTTGTGGTCGTACGTAGTGGCAATATGCCCAGAGCGAGGTTTCGCCGGCGCATGCCGGTTAGGGTAGTAGGTAGTCCTAGAGAGGTTTGGGGTGCTTGCCACTCGATGCACATTTGTCGCATGTTCATGGCAGAGTGTAAATAGGCAGCCAGTCAGCGTGCAGAAGAGGGACAGTAGGGGTGATGATGGTGCAGCGACATGGGGTGTGGTCAGAGGTGGTGCGTTTGGAGGATCCAAAAATAGAAGCGACGATGCTGGGGTACCCGCTCAGCTGTCATAACTGACCAAAATGCCCCCAAGCAGGCAGGCACGACCCGCCATAACACCTGAAGGACCGCAAATTACCACCCGCTGGACCCTCGACGACGCGACCTCATAGCGCGCTGCCACGGCAAACGACGTAATCGGCCTCTCGCGACGAGAAACATTTCGCGGCGGGAAACATCTCGCGACGGCGCTGGGCGCATCGCATCCTATCGTTGGACCTGTTCGCGCTGGACTCGCAGGCCCCGTTGCGACAGCAGCCGCTGCCCGCGACATCCTTCTGGGGGCTGAAGAAGCAAACCTTGGGCGTTGATCACTCTCTACGGGCTATATCCATGGCCTGCTATTGGTGTTAGCGCGGTCGCGATTCATCCCCAGGCTCTCATGGCAAGCTGACGGGCCGAGGAAGCAGCAGAGCGCGACACACCGTGGAGAACCATGCAGGTCGACTTTGGCGACGAGGCAGAGACGGAGCACAGTCTGCACCTGACAGCCAACGCCCACCAACACTACGAACACTCCGGGCCTGGCAGCGGGCCGGCCTACTCGCCTTTTCGGCACCCAGGCGGCGGTCGTGTACCAGCAATCGATCCGGGACTGGAGCAGAGCACAGGTGCCAGCCGCAATGTGCACACGCCCATGTCGGCGGTCCCCCATCAGGCCCAGTCCAGTCATCTACTTCAGCCCGACAATGCCAGTCACCTCGGCCACGGCTTCTATGGCGACATGCGCAGCTCCCAGACTCCCCCAGCGTCTGCGAATGCCTCGCCGCGCTTCGCCCAAATCTCCCCCACCAGCCAGCCGCGCCAGGTGACCTCGCACTTCGAGCCCGCCGACCGCGACACTCCATCGCGCGACGTGTCCGACGACACCATCGACCATGCCTACGCGACCTTTATCCTCTACTGCAACCCCAACTTCCCCACCACCATCGACACGAGCGAACTCGTCAAGCTGTTTCGCACGCCGCCAAAGAGCGACGGAAACGCCTTCAGCACATGGACTCTCTTCGAGCTGATACGCAAGTTTGACGCCAAAGAAATCAAAACATGGACACAACTGGCCCTGGATCTGGGAGTCAAGCCGCCAAACACGGACGAAGGGCAAAGCACGCAGAAGGTGCAGCAGTACTCCGTCAGGCTAAAGGTAAGAGCTCTTCAATTCACTGTACTTCCTTGTGGCCGGCAGTCGCCGAGTCATTTTCATACCAATACATTGGTTCTGCAGTCTTTTTGTCTTTTGGCGTCATTGGTTCCAACACTGCGTTCATCCATGTCATCCGGGTCGTGCGGCGCAGTCGATATCAGCCTCCAACGCCTCATTGTGATCGGGACCATCTAGTTGGTATCCGGCGCAGTAATGCGAGCCGAGCCACTTACAGGACTGACGTACCTGAAATGAATTGTACTCCGCGACTGGGTCGCAGTTGTGGTTTCTGCAAGGCAGAGGAGTGCGCAGGATTTCTCGTCGCGACCTAGCCATCTTGAATCTGCGATACCACTTGACACCTCAGTCCTCATGAGCTCTGCTAACTATCAACAGCGATGGATGCGCGCCATGCACATCGACGCCTTCTTTGAGTACCTGCTGGGCAAGCAACACCCCTACTTTTTGCAAATACCTCATCCCCACAACCCATTTCCGAGTGAAGGTCGTGATGGGGTTCCTCTGGAGGAAGACCTGGCTATCCGGGCTCTCGATCCCAAGTTCAAACCCAAGCGTGGACGACGGAAAGCTGAAGATGGGGATGACGATATTGATTTCGATGAAGGCACACCGGCTCGTAAGCGCCCACAGTTGGACACGTCAATACCGTTTGGCAACGTGCTGCAGCCCCAATCAGCGTATCCTACAAGCGCCCATCCCAACAACATCCACGGAGGCTTTCTCACACCTCAGGACCCATGGACTTCAGTCTCAGCCGTCACGCCTTCTTCAGCTTTGACAGCAGCTTCAGCACCAAGTCGTCTAGGTCAGAGTAATCTGACTCCATATTCAGATTCTCCAATGTCTGGACAGCATATACGGTGGCGACTGAACACGCAAGATACCCCTCAGACCCCTCATCCACTCTCCGCTGTAACCCCACAGTCTGCGTATCCGTTCTTCGATGAGCCCCAGTCTGCTGTCACGCCATCTAGTGCGAGATCGCGCTCTCGTCGACGTCACGGTCCTGCTGTGTCGTCGGCATGGTCAGCCAGCAACACCTCGTCCACTGGCAAGCTACGCGGTCGACCTCCACAAAACCGTTCAATACGAGACGGACCTTACACTACCTTCCCAGCCAATCCCAAAACGAAAGAAGGACCACCCATCGACCGCACACCAGGCAATCTGACCCCCATTGTTGAGCGCGCGCAATCCGACCCTCCAGCTCCTGAGAACTCCTTCCGCTTCCCCCCAACCCCCGCATCCGCCATCTCGCCCTCCAAAATGGAAGGCCAATTCACAGGCGGCATGCCCCAGAAACAACGCCTAAGTCTGCAAGTCCCACCAAACGTCGGAAACCCTGTTGTACGCCTCGTCACTCCAACCGTCCTCGTAAACGGCGAGGAAAACTCCTCCCCAGGCACGAATCTAGGCCCCTCACCCATAAGCGCCGCTTCAACCCAAGTCTCACCTGCCCATCACCAATATGAGCAACAGAGTATGTATCAAAAACAACCCGATAGACCGACACACCAGACATACCACGGAACACTTACGCCCTCGGAAACACCGGCGCAGACAAGACCGCCACCACCAACGCGCTCGCAGACTTCCCCAGCAAACATTCCAACCGCCACATCCCCACTGCCGGCTATTGCACCCGAGACGATAAACCGCGCTCTAGCCGCAGAACTGATCCGCGCTCCACTAACCAACCGTCGCAAACGGTTGAGGGGCAACGAAGCCAAAACACTGGCTACAGCCATCTTACAACCGCTCTACTCAATACCCGCATCTGGCCATTCTTCCTCGACTTCTCCCGCGAACAGCAAGGTCATGTCCGATTCTGCTCTCGGTGTAGCTATAGCGAGTTGTCTAGGTCTTACTTCTGCAGTTGGTGTGGGGATTGGCGGACCGACAGGAGGCGTGCGGCGTGTAGAATGTATACGGTTCCGTGTTGGCGGAGATGGGTACGAGTCACCTGTTGATGACGAAGATGAAGAGGGGGAGAGCCCGCGCGATGGGACACGGATTAAAGAGACATTTGATGTTTTCTTCGGGGTGAATTTTGGGGGTTTGGTGGGGGAGTGGGTTGTCAAGGGCCTTGAGATAAGCAGTTCGAGTGAGGAGATTGGTGAAGCTGTAGGAGAGAGTTCAAGAGCAAGTGATGAGTTGGAAAGGAACGAGACGCCAGCGGCGTGGAAGACCAAGTTCCTCGATGCACAACGCAGATTGTGGGAGAAGGAAGAGGAGGTCAAGAGTCTCAAGGACAAGATTCTTGAGGCTGTCTTGTAGCATTCTGTTTCGTTTCGCTCGACAGCACAGGGGTGGGGGATGCTGTATTTTGGGAAGGATTTCTTGTGTATACTTGGGCGTATGGTTGGGAGGTTGGTTCTGCTATATACCCCAGTTGCTGTTTTGGGATTGGATTCGGGATGGATGGGAAAATCTTGTATGTCGGAATTGGATGTGCGCAGATAGCATAGCGTGTATAGGCTGTATTGGAATTGTATGCATCACATTGTCATATCTTGGATAGCCAATCATGTGATATGCCTTGCAACCGGTTCTAACATGGGTATTGTTTATGCGTCTCACGCCACCCTCCAAAACATGTCAAGCTTCATCCTTCTCCCACGGCTTCTTTCTCTTGGGCTTACTCGGCTGCGTGCCCTGTCCCTCCAACACGGTAGGGGGAATCTCTTTGATCCCCGGCACCGGTTTCCCACTCGTAATCAACTCGACGATGTGCGCAAATGACGTTGGGTATGGCGCGGGTGGTTCGCTTGTGGTTGTCGGCGGTGGCATGATACCGCTTGCCTCGGTGCTTGGAGGCAGCTCGCTAGTTGTGCTCATAGGCAGACTGGTTGTGGACGCATTGGGTGTAGCGGTGCCGGGTGGGAGCATTTCGTCGACGACCGAGGAGGCGAGGACGTTGTGGGGTGTTGGCGGGGTTGGAGGAGGTCGGTTACGCGCATTGCGGTAGGCTTTGTAGGCGTTGAAGTCTATGTTCTTGTTGTATTTCCTGGAGAGTTGTTAGCACACTGTCTATGATTGTATAGGTGACATGGTGGCGCACCTCGCATAGTAAAAGCATCGCGCGCGCAATGCTAGCTCCGTCGTCTGCTCTGGAGTACTGTTGCTGCCAATAATGGCTTGTAGACCGGCTTGGAACTCAATGTCATCGTCCCAGTTGTAGCGATCTAGGGCCTCGTAGATGTCGTTTAGGCCGTCCTCAGTAGTACTGGTAACGCTCATGGCGAGGACGAGGGCAACCAGAAGCCCAAACAAAGAAGCCTGGTCCAAGTATAGAAACCTCTAGAGAGAGCAAACAAGTCACGACCTCAAGGGCCTAAAAATACGTGGGTTCATCTGCTACGGCGAAGCATGGATGCAGCCTATCGGGCTTGTACACACTGCTGGTGGTACTGTGGGGTAAAGGTAGCCCGAGGTGGATGAATGAGGCTCAAGCTTCCAGACTACGCCTCGCTAAACGTGCGCCAAGTTTCTCAGCTTCAGCCCACGACCACGGAGCTCTCCAACCTTCTCTCACCCCTCACTCCTCCATCCACCACTTTACCCCTTCACATCCACTTTCCCGCCTTCTTTCCTTGTTCATTGAGCTTCAATTCCTTTCGATACCCGTTTTGATACCCACGTTACACAGCCATGTCCGAGTTCATCGGGTTAGTCGCAGCTCTCCAATTCGAGCTGGAGCTCCAGCTGACGTCGGACGCGTAGATCTCGCATTTCTCTCATCTCAAAGAGCGACATCCGGTGAGTTTGACATGGCGCCGGTTCATTGTGCGACGCGACTGACATCCCGCAGCTATGTCGGCACTCTCGTTGAGATCAACTCAGAAGCCTCCACAGTCTCATTAGACAATGTGCGCTCCTTTGGCACAGAGGGGCGGAAGGGCGGCAAAGACGAATACCCGCCATCAGACGTCGTTTACGAGCAGATTGTCTTCCGAGGCAGCGATGTGAAGGATCTTCGCATTGAAGAGCCTGTCAAGGAGAAGGCCCAGCCTGCAATGCCCCAGGACCCAGCCATCATCGGAGTAAGTCTATGACACCACCTTTCTTTTTCTTTTTTCGATGATGTAAAATTTTCGGATGTAAATCATTTAAACCACCGAGAGCGCAAAACCGTGTGGATATTTTCCGTTGCCTTCCTTCTGAGATCCTTACCTACAATCTGTTCCTTTCACATTTTGTTGGAAGCAAAGCTGACGCGACGCATGCGCCACAGGTACAACAACCCCAGTCGCGGCAAGAAGGCAGTCCACAAGACATTGCCGGTCGCCAACAACCGCCACCGAATTTTCCTCAACCAGGTCAATTCCCACCTGGTGGATACCCTCCCTTCGGTGGACCTGGCGGCCCTGGTGGTGCATATGGCAACCGATTCGGTCCTCCAGGTGGTTTCCCTGGCGGTCCAGGGCCTTTCCCAGGTCCTGGAGGCCCACCAGGCGCATTTGGCATGCCACCGCCTCCATTTGGTGCGCCTCCAGGCTGGTTCCCTCCAGGCCAAGGCTTCCACCAGCCTCCTGGTCCGTTCTCGCCTAACATGCCCATTGGCCCTCCCGGCTTGAACCAAAACCAACCCCCACAAGGTCAACGGGGCCCGTCAGGTCCCCAGGCAGGCAAGGATGAGAAGCCAGGTCAGCCACAGCAACCAAAGGTCGCCGAGGCAGATGGTGCATCCGCCAAGCCACAACAAAAGAACGGCGCGAAGGCATCTGGCTCAACACCAACGCCGGCTGCTGCTGGTAAGCAGGCTCCTCCACCACCAGTCGACTCAAAGCCCGATGTTTCAGCTGCGTTGGCACCACCCCATCCTCAAACCACTCAACCGCCGTCCAAGGGTAAGCCTAGCGGGCCCAAAGGTGGACGAATCATCCCCGCTGTTCCGATTCCAAGCCCGAGAGCAGCAAAGACGGCGCCTCATGCCCAAGAAGGTGCTGCCGCTCCCGTACAAATGCCCAGTGCTGCTCAGCAGCAGAATGCTACTCAACTAGCAACTGCCGCTGTCGCCGAGGCCATGGCCAAGCTCAACCTACAGAACAAGGGCCAGGCGCAAGGTCAACCACCAAGTCAACCTCCTGTCTCAGATCCCATGAACAACCTGGCACAACAGGTACAGGGCATGCGCGATCAACAGAGCCGTCAGCACCAGCCCCGTCAGCGAGGAACAGGCGAGTTCCGCGGTCGAGGCGGAAGAGGAGGACGGGGTGGCGCTCATCAGCAACACCCCAAGATGGAGGTGCCCACAACCGATTTCGATTTTGAGTCAGCGAACGCAAAGTTCAACAAGCAGGACTTGATCAAGGAAGCCATCGCCTCTGGCTCGCCAATGGGTGATGCTCCAGCTGTTCCAGCTGTCGAGGCCGCAACCACAGAGAAAGAAGAGGTCGTCATCCCTGGCGGATCCATGTACGACAAGAGCTCTTTCTTCGATAACATTTCGAGCGAACTCAAGGATAGGGAAGAGGCTGCCACGCGTGGCCAAGAGTTCAGGAGCCAAGAGCGCCAGAAGAACATGGAGACCTTTGGCCAGGGCAGCGTCGATGGTTTCCGTGGTGGTCGAGGTCGTGGACGCGGCCGTGGACGTGGTCGCGGCTTTGGCGGCGGATACCGTGGTCGTGGAGGTGCACCAAGGGGTCGTGGCGGCGCGGAGTTTGGGGCTCAACCTGCCGCTTAGTGGGCGGGAGGACCGGTGAATCCAGACTTCAAAGCGGCGTTGCCTTGATGGCTTCGCGCAGCTCTTCTAGCCATCTTTGTTCTGTCTTATGTTCCTTCTCTCAGCACTGCGAGCGTGTCTTTTGTGTCTCTTTTTCCCACAGCTCTATGGGCGTGGGTATGACTTGGATATTTTTTTGGCGGCGTATCTAGCGACCGTCTTTGTATTTGTAGATATGAGGGCCTGATGTCGAAATGGAGGCAAAAACTTGGGAACACCTGGGGGGTTTATTTCAGAAGGTGTGTGTGGTATGGGAAGGCTTGAAGCCAGAAAGGCATATACCTGCTATGATGATGAATGAAGATTATGAAGTCTCGGTTTACATGTTTGTTTGGTTATGTTGTTGGTGAACTGTGATGTATTGAAGCACTATGGCTGCTACGCTACTGATGAAATGTTCGAAAGTCTTCTTTCTCAAGCAATACTGTCATGACCTCCAATCTCGCAGCCTTGGTGAGCTCTTCTATCAGCACTCAACCCGAATTTTCCGCCTTCACATCTCTATACAGTACCGGAACCTGTAACTCAAACAAGGATACGACCTAAGTGTCTTGGATGATCTCTCACTTCCTTTCCCAGCTCTCTTTCGTCGGAGCTAAGACGTCTTCCATAGCTGCCTGTCTCAAGTCGGGACGGGGATTGGAAACTCAGCCGGAGGTGTCGGGACAGCAATAACGTGCTCTTGACCGCTCATGGCACCAGTTACGTCGTATCTGTAATAGTAGCGGGGCCAACGGTGGCCGTTGTCATCGAGGACAGGTCGTTTAGCAGAATTCATATCTTCCGGCGACATAGCTAGAGCTCTAATGTTGGATCCATTCCTAACGAGCAGACGAAAGACTTCTGTAGCAAATGCCTGCATCATTGCTTGCGAGGTATAGATGTGCTCCTCTGGAAGGCCAATCCCCTCCACGATATTCGGGTTTGGCATAATCCCATAATCGATGCTGGGTAGTGTGAGAATCCGCAGTGACTGGAGGTTTTGATGTTTCGCAATACGAATCTGGTCCTTTATTAGTAATTGACTTATGTATGGAGGTTGCGTACGTACTAGGAGGAATTCTATTTCACTGAGAACGTATTCGTTACCGGTTTGCTCGAACAGCTTGAACTTAGCACCAAGATGGCCAACGTGACCAAGGTTGATCGGGCAAAGACCGATTGCTAAGTCTACAAGCTTTGGCGCCTGTACCAGTAGATTATCAAGTTCAAGGGCGTAGTAGTATGGATCCTGCGTTCTCGATAAAGCTGCTAGACCAAGACTCTTCAACGTATTTCCATGTCCAGCCAGGCATGCTACATAGATCAAACGCCCTTTACCAACATCCAACCAAAGCTCCCGTAGGGAAGAAGTGGATGTCACCAGAGCCTCGATCGCTTCCAGAGAATCTTCTGAGAGAATTGAAGTAGAAGCTACCGTTATCTCTAGCCTTCTCAAAGACGGTACTTTGGATACCCCTGGAACGAGAGCAGTGATAAAGGCTCCGACTTGGCAGCATCGCATGACAGAGAGCTCGCGAAGAACGGAGAAATCAATGACTGCGAACAACGAAGCAGGGTACGTCTTGAGAATCAGACAATGAAGATGAAGGCGGTCCAGCTGTAGAGTCTGGAGACCTGGTCCTGGCCCTCCAAAGACATCCTTTCCATGCAAGTCATGTAAAGACCAGCTATTAGAGAGGCCCCATAGGGTCAGTTTCTTGAGATTTGGTGTACTCTTGAGAAGATAGGCGCTGTTCTCGTACGCGTTTTGCTCCCCATCCCCAATGGGAATGAAAAGGTTCTTGATGTTGCGCAACGTAGGTGTGACCCATGAACTATGCGATGCGAGACACAAGTCGCTAGATGGGCTTGCATCAGGAGGTAAGCTTCGAAGCCGAAGTGTTTTGAGCGCTTGCTGAGGTTGAAGGACTCTGAGCAGTGTAGTCATGCTGATGTGAATATAGAATCTGAGTGTCGAAAGGCAATTCTTTTGAAGGGCACCAAAGATGAATTGAAAAGCAACCCCAAATTCGGAATCCATCTCAACCTCTGCCGTGCCGTCCAGTCCTTCAAGGATGTCAATAGAACGCACGTGGGCAAGGACTCCGTCATTTGCGTTCAGTAGACAAGCCAGTTCCCATGGTAAGGTGGTTGCGACTCTCAGTGTAAGATGTTCCCAGAGGATTGGCGCCATTACATCTCTCCAACTGCGACTCACAAGGCAAGCCGACTTTTTGTGATCGTTTCGTTGGAGATAGCCAAAGATAGTCGCCTTCATCTCAGTCGGGAGATCGGAGAACGTGGCGGTGATGCCTGGGTCGGCCATCATGAGGGAGGGTTGGTTCGCCGCGCTGGATATTGGGAATCGAGGGAGTGCAAGTTAGTCTTGACAGCGGCGTGTGGTGTTTTGTTGACACTTGTGAGAGAGTTCGTTTGCTCTCTCTAATCAAGCGGGCCGTGCGCAGGCAGGTTAGCGTCCTTCTCTCGTCCTTCACCTTCACAGTGAAGACGCTTACGTTGCCCTAGAGGTACTTGTAATTTTTTCAGAGGCCTGCCAACAATGTGAAACATGGCCTGTAACTTTGGAGTATTTCCTAGAAGGGTAGAACTTAGGAACGATAACTACTTTCGCACGTAGCGTCTTGCATTCAAACAAGGCATTCGAAGGAGAGGGAACGCCAACATGATGATGGAGCGAACCGCTTGACCTACACATTCCACTTCCAGTTCGTAGAGTTCGAAGAATCTCAACCAAGATTGTATATCTGCTCAGGACTATAGTCGTATGCCGAGTGCCTGTCTGATCAAGGCTGCCTCAACGTAGATCACTGACTGCCCACGGGCTTGAATATGTGTACTTCTTCAGCATATCAAAATCTGAAGGTCTCCCCGGCCGGATACATCCTTCTTCCGAGCCGCTGCCAGCTGTAGACGCAGTGAGGTACTACCCTGCCTAGTCAGTTAGTCGACTATAGAATGCCGCACTAAAACGACTTGGAGAGAGAAGAAAAAAGGCGCATTGTGTTTCGCCTCAACATGCAGCTCGTGGTTCAAGTGACGGACAGAACAACGCGGTGCGAAAAGATATGAAGATGTTTCTAGCAGGCGCCATGATGTAGATGTACAATTAATGACGTAAGCGCAGAGGGTCCGAGTCTTGTCCGGGGAACTAGCTCCTTCATACAATGGGCACCAGCTCCAAAAATAAGACACCAACTCATTACTCCGACGTTAAGCTCTACCAGCCAAGCACCAGCCTCGTATTTGCGCCACTACTAGTATATGGGATGACGTTTGGTAGGGTTCAAAGGCGCAGGTTGATCACCCAAGGGTGCACCTCAACTGAGATCGGCAGCCTGCGGGCCGTTTCGGTGGCACGCTTGGATACACCAGTGGCACCTTACGCGGCCAAATATCCGACGAACAATAGGAGTCGGTACGCTCGGATCTTGGACATGTCGTTCATGGAAACAAATTCCGCACGATGCGTTGAACTCTAGTATAAGAGGCAGATGACCCTCGAAGAGTTGTTTGATACATAACCAGACTCTGACCCAACAGAAGCTTACCACAACACATTAACCTCCTATATATAACAACCTGCCGACCCACAACACCAAATCCATCAACATGGTCTCCTTCACAACTCTCCTCGCATTCGCTGCCGGCGCCATCGCAGCCCCCACCACCCAAACCGAGCAACCGAAGATTCCCTCCAATTGGACGTGGCACATCGAGGGGTGGTCAGCCGGCTGCGCACGCAGTGGCTGCTACTATGACTTCAACATTTCGGTACCGAGCATCGAGGGCGAGATTCTCGGTGTCAAGGCATACTGCTCCGGCTATGAGAACGGCTGGTACCGCAAGGGCAACTGGTACGCACCCTGCCGCATCTTGTCGGGCGTCAACAACGGCGTCTCTGCAAAGTTCAGCGAGAGGACTAGCGACACCAGTGGCTCTCCAGACCAGATCTTGTTGAGCTTTGAGAAGGCTCCCTACGAACCGTTGAATACGTAAGTCTTTTTTGTACCTTCTTGCTGGTCTCAAGAAAAAATGAATGTGTGACTGATGAATGGATCTGCAGGACTGGATACAACTTCACTGGCTCTCACGAGGCGATCTACAACCAGTTTGTTGCGCCTGAGCAGGAGTTTGATGTCACACCTACTGCAGTGACTATTGTCGAGTAAAGAGTAGATCGTTATTGAAGTAGTCTAACTGTTTAATCTTCCCAAAATTTACCATTTCAATCCCAATATCTGGCTTTCTTTAATTCTACATTGGTTCTTGATGTGCTTTGTAGAAGTCAGGGAACACAACCCTGATTGGGGAGTACAGGAGGTGCATGCTAAGGTATATATCTCCTCCCTTACCCGAACAACATCGTGAATGTTATTCGTTCTGATAGACACTTTTAAGAACGCTAAAAGTCGCAATATACGTGCATGAGGAGTACATATAGGTATTTATAATGTATCACTGAAGCTGAACTACCTCCTAGACTCGGAGTGTATCGGTGGAAAGCGCGATATTGGGTTGAACAGGTTCGTGGGTAACGGGACAGTGGGCAAGCTTACGCCTGTACTGGTCACTTTTCCACCAAGTCGAAGACTGTACATGCGCTGGGTCTATCAGGTCTGGTTCTAAAACAGTGTTTTCTCGCAGTAGTTGGCCCTTCTGCAATCTGCCCCGCTGACGTCATGTGGTTGAAGCCCTCAATATGTTTGGCTTTTTCTTGGACAATTTTACATCTTTCTACTACGAGCGGCTGTAGTACGTAATAACATGGCCTTTTTTTTTAAGATTTAAACTGATACAAGATGTTCGAGGCTGCCGTACGCACCCGACGTTCTGCATGAACATCGCTAACGCATCTAGTGTTCCCCGCAGTTCTTGCAACGTTGCCGTTTTCTCCTATTGTGTTTACCACCGAAGAGTGCCAAGGTCTGGATTCAACTACTGTAGGAGCTGATAGGGGAGAGTTCGCCTCCCTATTCCTGGGAGTAAAGGATGCAGTCATTGGGCCTGCTTCGGTCCCCGCTCCCAAATCGCTAAACGCCCGGATGAACGGGCAACGCAAAAGAATGCAGCCGAAGGCTGTCTGCATATGGAACTTCCTTATCTAGTATCGTTTTGACTTGTTGGAAACGGCTGCTAAAGAGACTAGTACTTATCGTGAACACGACCTTTCATGAGCGCATGCTAGATGCGCATCGGCCAATTCGCCAGAAACAGTCAAAATATATTAGGAGTGGAGCGAAGCGTGGGATGGCCATTTGCTTCCTCTTCTGCCACTCGTGGATATGTAAGACTCTACTTCATGAGCTGCTACGCCTCATGCAATAAGGAGGCACAGTAGTGGAGGTTACGAGACTAGAGCCAGCTCACTGTTGTCTCATATTCTATTACCTGGTAAGATTTCCATCGGAAGGATCAACTTCTAGCATTTCGTATGCAAGCTCTACATTAATGGATTTTGCTGCATAGGCCTCTTGAACAACATGTGAGAATTGCGCTATAAAGACTTCTTGTGTTTCAATGCGACATCGTAGTTCACACTCTTTCTATCGGTTCGTCTAGTTCTTTTGCTCAGCTTATCTCCTGATATGAAGCTTCTTGCCAGCCCACTGATCGCCTTCTTGGCCTTGTCTTCATGCACTATTGCCGCTTCCGTTAATTTGTTTCAAACAGAAGACCCTATCAGTGTTCAGCTGGCCACTTTGGAGAATACGGTGGTTAAGGTAATCATTACCAACACCGGTGACACCACTTTGAACCTTCTCAGCACCGGAACCCTTCTGGACGATACGTTGCCTGTTGAGCGGGTCACATTGTACTCCAACAGTGGTTGTAAGCAGCAAGATCATTTCTCACTACCCTAACCAAGAGTGACCACATTGAATACTTCGTTCATCCGCGCCTCTATAGAAGCCACGGTTCTTCAAGAGTGGGCTGTCCCCACACTGTCATACTAGCGGAATGAGTTGTCGCTGACAAACACTTAGCTACGAGGGTGCCGTTTGAGGGTGTCACGATTCAGCTTAACCCAAGTGCCCTATCTACCGATGACTTCCTCAGGCTGGAGTCCGGGGGTAAGAGAGAGTTTGCCGTGGAGACTGGTGCATTCCGCGACCTGAGCAGCGGTGGAAGCTTCGACGTATTCGCCAACGGCGTGTTACCGTACGCCAATGAGAACTCCACCGAGCTTGTAGGCGCTTTGAGATACGACTCCAATAGACTCAGCATCTCTGTTGATGGTACTCAGGCGGCTGCTGCTCGCGAGCCACTAGCGAAACGTACTATCGTCGACTCCGGCTGCACTGGTGATCGTCTTACCAACCTCAGGACAGCATTATCGAATTGCCAAAAACTGGCATCCGGTGCCGCGACAGCAGCCGCAGCTGGAGACAGCAGGCTAGGAACTTTCTTCAAATCAACATCAACAAGCGTTAGGAACCAGGTCTCTGCTCGGATGAGCGCAGTTGCACAGGACTGTGGCACCTCATCACCAGGAACGACATCGTACTGTACAGACCAGTACAGCTTCTGCTCGGGGGGAAGCATAGTCGCGTACACTTTGCCTACGTTGAATTCCATCACGTACTGTCCAATCTTCTTCACTAACACCATCCCCATTACGACGGGATGTAAAACATTTGATCGAGGAACTACGATTTTGCATGAAACGACGCATGCTTCGAGCGTTTACAGCCCAAGCACGCAGGATTTGGCATATGGATATGATGCTTCGGTTAAGCTTTCGACCGAGCAGGCGCTGAACAATGCAGATTCCTATACGCTATTTGCTAACTGTAAGCTCATACTCCATCGCGTAATATGTGCTAACTAGTTTGCAGATGTGCGTCTAAACTGCGCGTAATGTTGAAGAAGATATTGGAGATTTCGCGAAGGCAGGTGGAATCATGAACGAGAGCTTGAGATGTTGAAGAAGCATAGTACCCGAGAAAGCATTAAGTCACTATCACCCGGTTCATACCCTCTGCACGATCGCTTTTCATATGCGACAAGATACCTTATCTTTAGCGTTCATCCCGCTATACGTCTCCCGTAGTACCTGTCCAGCTCCTCAAACACCTCGTAGCCGACACAACACTCTCAGTCATGTTCTGACCAAAGTCTGTCGCATCCTCGTAACGTGAGAGTGACTGAACACCGAGCGGTTCAGCCAGATGACCACAGCAGTCGGTGTTACGCCGGCACATATTTCTATGTGCCCACTAGTTTTAAGAACCAACTGTAGACAGATGAATCCGAAACAGTGTAGGTTATCAGGAAGACTGTATTACCAACTAGTACTACCACCGCAGTAGCGGCGCAACAGCGAGCTATCCGGCAGATTGTCAGTGTCAAAAGGAACGGCTGTGAAACGCTCTCTGCCCGTCGGATCCGAGATACGGCCACGGATGTAGTAGTATCTCGGCCATTTGTGACCATTGTGATCAGCCTTCGGTTGCTCAAATTCATTATAAAGTGGGCAGAGCCCAAGTAATGTGATGTGGGAGTTGAGCTTGTGAAGGAAGCACATGACTTCAGCAGCAAGCTTTTGCATCATCAAACTCGCGGTCGGCACCGTGATGTTGTAAATAGGTTGTCGGTTCTGCAGAGTGGGATTGGGATCTGGTGACATGTCGTAGTCAATATTTGGTAGCGAGAGTATCTGCAGGGTATGCAGGGACCGATGGCGTGCGATGCAATCCTACGATCAGATTAGTCAACCAAGTTCCAGAGAATGAAGATACGATGACTTACTAAATATGCCTCCAAGGCATTGGGAACACTAGTATCACCACTATCGAGTACATCAAGGGTAAAATCTGTGCCGAGTAACCCTGACCAACCCATCTCTATGGGAGAGATGTAGACAGCCAGTTGAGTCAAGCCTGGAGCTGATTTTAAGATGGTGGATAGATCGGCGACAGAGTAATATGATGCTGTATTTTCCGCGTCGATGTTCAGTCCGAGATGCTGTAATGTACTGCCATGTCGAGTGATGCATGAAATGTCCACAGGCCTTGCTTTCCCTACGTCTATCCAGATAGTTCGAACACCAGAGGAGATCCTTAGTAGATGCTCAATCGCTCGGATATCGCTCTCTAGCACGTCGCCTTTCATTAATATATCAATCTCAGTTAGGCTGGGGTCCAGTGATTGCCGTGTTGCGAGTGCTGTCAGGAATGGTTCGACGTTGCGACAACAGTATAGTGAAAGAGATTGGAGGCAAGCAAAATCTATGTAGACAAATGCTTTATCAACATGGGATGTCGCCAAGTCGAGGTATAGTAGGTTGAAGCGTGAGAGCTGAAGTTGCTGTACGGTTATGTCATCTGCATGTAATCCCCCGAGGGCCTCACAAGTGAGTAAGGTATCGAAAGAAGCCTTGTTTCCTTCTTCATCTTCGTCGCCGTCAATAGACAAGTCGCGAAGCTTTGGAGCACATCTAATCATGTACGCGCTGTTTCGGTATGTGTGATCACCGGAGCCGATGCGAACCCAGAGCTTTGTCAATCCACGTAGCGCAGTAGTGGCCAACGATCGATGCATGGTGATCCCGAAATCAATGGGGAAACGACTTATCTTTGGCTTGTCCAAAGCTATATCGAGATTTCTCATCCTTTGCTGGTTGCGAAGCAGAGAGAGTAGATAGGCCGGCTCAAAAGGCATGTTACTTGTAAAACCGAGTAGTCTGTTTTTCGGTATTGTTGCGATTACGACTTGGACTGCGGCGTGGAAATCATGGCTCAGATCTTCGTTCCACCACGGTTCCCAATCGGCAATGAGTTGGCGGACGTGAGGAAGTATACCACTGTTGGGAAGCATCAATGTTGTCAGCTTAGTTGTCGAGATTGTTTTGGGATCCAGTGTGAGTTCCTTCCACACAATAGGCGCCATGATATCTCTCCATCCACGGCTTACAAGACAAACGACTGCACGTTCCGGTTTTGTACGAATCCAGGTGAAGACTTCAGCCTTTAACTCGGGGGGAAGAGTCGTGAAATTTGATGTGGCAGCCATGATTGGTGGTGGTTTACTCTGTGTGGCGTACGATACTGCTGGTTTTGGTTGATGAGATGAGCAAAGGTCGCTACGAGGAGTTGGTTATATAGCAGGTAGTCGGGGTGTGTGTGCACAGTGAACATATATACATTCAAACCTAGATATGAAGGACTTTCACCGCTGTACAGCGTACTGTCCGCACCTAGAGGAACACATTCAGCTAAGCTTCGTTTCACAGCGTTGCTGTGTTTTGATGATCGAGTATGGACCTATACATTCTCAGTGCCAAGAATTCATGATCAGGAGACGATGATCTCTACACTCCATTATCGTATTGCGGCAATGGAGTGTAGACATCGAGTGATTCGGCTGCTTGCATCCATGATTGAGCTTCATATAGCGGAAGTTCGACTTGAATCTCGGGTAACTTGGCGAATTCATGGTGCGATACTAAACCTATTTGACAGCGACTCCGTGGGCCGATCAAGCACCGGGCGACCGTAGAAGCCATGTGCCCGGACTGTGTCCATGATCGCTAGGTATGTATAGGGATAATGAGCCAAGATGGTTTGCACTTACACCTTCGCTCGCCTATATACGTATCGCGAGTCGTGGGATAAAAGGAGGTGTTCGTATCTGAGGGGCCGCCAGACCGCACGCAAGATGGGTGGATGATCGAGGATTTTAGCATTTACTGCCAGGCGGCTTCGACCCTTTCCTTGGTACAGACCTCCACATACTTGCCATTAAGCTATGACGCTGCCAGGTTTTTTCTTATCGTCCAATATGTGATGTGATCAACGCGCCCCTACGCTTGGATGCTCGATCCGTTACGGCCAGCCTCAGGGCGATGTGGTGAAGCGTGGTGAGATTCCTGAAGCTCTTGCGCATGAGATGCTACTTGTAATGCCAGCGAAGAGTGGACTTCATGAAGGACAATGGGCGCATATCTCATGTAGCACGCGACGGTCGTATTAGCCATGCGAGGTGAATCGCTAGACGTGACGCCGTTGAGGTGCGAGCTACCCGAGGATGCTAAATCAACACGATTACATAAGACCCCTCCGGAAAGATCGCCCCCGCATAACCTCACGTCTGTAACACTACTCCTCCGGACGATTGCTACTTGAAGACTCTTCTAGTCTCGTTACCTCATGAAATAAGATGCGGCGAAGGCGTTTCAGATATACTAAAACTCTATCACAGAACATAACACGGCCACAATTTGAACAACTTTCTATTGCCAATCAGCTCTGCAAACATGCGCGCATCATTGTTATGGCCGTTGGAATCAGGAGCGTAGAAATGACAGGATTGAATTCCGTGCTCATATCGAGATGAATATACTTGACGTTTCTGCTTATCTACTTTGATGGGTAGGCGTTTATTGGAAGAGCAGGATAGCCCCACCAGGACCCTATTCCGCCACTATCTCCACACCACATTCGAAAAATTCTCTCGCAACCCACCGCCAACGACCGAATTCAAAGAAAGTACTCGAGAGCTGCGCGGTGTCATGTACACTGCGGATGATGGCAATATATACATTGATTTTAATCGTTTCCTCATCCAATCAGCAATCTTCAATAGTATAGTGGTCAGTATTTCCGCTTGTCATACCAGCTTTCGGGCTCTTGACAAATGCGCGGGAGACCTGGGTTCAATTCCCAGTTGGAGAGGTTTTACATCCCATTTCTTTTTGCCTTTTTGCCCTTTGTCTCCCGACACTCGTCCGTAGAAGGTGCAGCAAGATGCAACGGTGCTCTTTTTTTCGGGACGACTCAGCTCAGTGAGCTTGCGTAAAAGTGGTAGACACTGTATTATCACTTTTTGCTCCTCTTTGCAGCGTAATGCGTGAGGCTCACCTATACTTAGTCAGTGAGAACCAAAACGCTGCTCTTACGGTAACATTACACTGCACTCATCGTCAGTCGCCTACTGTCGCTGGTGCACATACATGGCCATGCGTCTAGGCCACCGGCGCATGCTGATACGGTGATGAATGTCTCGATAGAAGATCGCTATTGGATGTCCAAGGTTGAAACAACCATGCCTAGACTTATACGAGACTGATCCGGATTCTCTAGAAAGCATCTTTCTCAGCCCATGTCCTACCATACCGTCGAAATCAGCAGGGTTCGAGAAAGCGAACACTGACACCGAGCTAAAATATTTACGCACGTCTTCCTTCAGCCACTCGAGAATGGAGTGCAGAGTCATATCTCGAGGGCTCGAGGTACGAGCGTCTCGACTGCGAGTCCCACGAAGGGACTGGAAGACAGATATTGTGGAGGCGAAAGTACCGAATGAGCTGTGAGTCCATGAGAAAAGTCAACAATGTCCAAGCGTGAGTTGTACGACAACATCTATGTACATTTTGTCTGATGTGTATAGCAACAATTAGACATGTCGAAGCAAAAGACTTGAGTGCCTCCATGATGTACTGGTGTGCTGAAATGTATTTCCTGATGATGAGACCCTGGTATGAAGCGCCATCCACCATTCATTCCAGCATCCTATCATCAATGCGATATCTGTGTCCACTTCCTCGATGTTGTGGTTGCGGGTGGCCTTGCCTGTTGCCTGGAACAGAACCAGCCTAGCGCTATGCAACACGGAAGGCGCAACCCCAGGTTCTGCCCGCCACCTCTTCTCATTCGTTTTCAACAACAACCCTCGATATTTCTAGCATGACGAATCTTTCTGATCTACCAGCGGAGACACGACGTGAAATTCTCATACACGCCGTTAGTGTCCGCGATCTCAGGCGCGGGCTGAGGTTAAGGCTTGTGAATAGTACGCATGCCCTCTCATCCCGCCATTGTGATTGCAGCACTGCAGTATGCTGACACTTAGATAGAGGAG